CCCATTAGGTAGGCCAAATATTCAAGTTATTGGATTACCTCACAACCAAAAATCATCTTGTAAATGTCTTCGAATATCACTAGACAACAAAATACGTAGCTTACAAAAATGTTCTATAACTGCTTGCATATAAGACTGTAAGGGACGAAAGCTCAGTGAGTTGGTTATAGTTTCGCTTGCATGGTGATATCCGCTTTAAAAATTTCGTATTAGTTTCACGGCGGTTGATCACTAACACTTCGGAGAATAATTTCAAACGCTTCAGTTGATTTGCTGCATAGTGTTTGGCTTAGTTTCAAATAAGGTTAACTACCTATTCACACACTTTTGACCTCGATAACCTCCACAGTGCGTCTGCTTTCCATAAAAAGCAACGTTCAAATAACTTGAAATAGTTGGCGTGACATGGAATACATCCTCTCACTGACCTCACATAAGCTACCTCACTTATTCACGTAACCTCTCAACAGAAGAAATGAGATACTACTTAGATATTAGGAAGTATGTTGAGTCGATGCGTCACATTAAATGTTCGACATTATATGTGATATTGTATTCGAAGAAAAACAGACCAATGAAACTTGTAACGTCGCACACGACACCCGGGAAGAGGTGTGTGATTCTCATCGGCCTGAAAGAATTAAGGTAAAATAGATCCATTAAGGTAAGTGATAGATGCTATAATTAAAAATACTTTCAGCATAACAATTACAAAGTTAAACCGCAAGTTTGAATCACTATCTTGAAGCAATTGTAACTTTAGTTCGCCAAGTAGCCTCAGGTCGATAAAAGCTTAGATTGAAGATTTATTGTTTCCTGCGATGAATGTTAAAACTGTCATAACCATGATAAGCTAGGGGATTTTTGCCCATTAGTATATCCCTCTGGGAATTTCACAAAATGCATGCAAGCAGTTGCATTAAGTAGATCAGCATGCAGAACAGCAGAGTGATCGAAAATGCATTTGTTGTACTCTCGAAAAGAAAGCTTTACAGATCGATTCCCTCGTGGATTTTCATGATTTTTACTGACAAAAAACATGACACGTTGCTCCCATTACCTTACCATTCTGTTATCCGATCAGCCCGCAAATGAAAACATGTCTGGTCGGTAAGGACGAGCAGGGTTATTTCATCACATCACTTCCTGCCCGTTAAGTATCTATGTTCATGCCGTGTAGGCCTGAATGATAATGTGATCCTCCAGTTGCATTGAGACAAAAAACCCAGTTGAATGAAGAATGTATCCATCCACTCACTTTTCGATATATTTATGGTTCTTTGCGGGCCAAATATGCGCATATTTGTACGGGCGTTCACGGACTTGTCAGTTTGAAGTGGATAATTCCATCCTAGGGCATCCTTTCGACCATTTGCCGAACGGTGTCATAATGGTAATAGACCAGGACGAAACGTCTTTCAGATCGACCCGAGAGTAACAAAGTTCCACGACCACTTTGTTGTCCACATTCAGCAAGTGAGCAGATGAGCTGTTCGGTTGGGGCAGTTAGGGTGTATCCACTAATAGGTCGGATGCTGTATGCGCGCCCGCCTTGTACATAGAACGCAAACCCACTTAGGCTGTTCGAGTATCGTGCGCTCACAACGTGCGCTGTTCCAATGCAAGCAACTTCGTGCGTTCACCTTTTCTGATAAGTTTAAAACTCTGACGGACGTCGATTTATTTACATAGCTGCTCCCAAAGATGAATGTCAGTGTATGATACTTTTCAAGTAGACCTTACTCCGCTGAGTTTCATCTACATTACATGCCGGAGACCAAACGGCTTTTATGCCGAGTGAGCATATCATGTGTGAGGTAAACGAGGAATGGTAACCTATGACCCGTTTGAAATGAAGCCACAATCTGGATACGGTGTTAGGCATATTTCATATCTTATTGGCTTAACCATGTTCGGCACCGAAGAACTCTACTTCTGGTGAGTAGTAGAGAATTCGTGGAATGTAAAGGACAGCTATTTTGTCTCCACTAAATTTGGTCGAATAATGTGATCGTTACACGAAGCCGAATGTGACTGAAACTATACAGGTGATAGTTCAGTCCCGCCTAATATGTGGATGCGTTGGTCAACCTCGTTGCCTCAAAAAGGCGTGGCCGGAGATCTAGTCCAGGCCATGGCAAAGACATGTATTGCTGGCGAACTGTAACAAGTGTGAAACTTGCGTCTAGCGCCTCTTTTGGATAGTGGCTGACTGAAACTTCTTTGAAGAGGTGATAGCTGCAACCGGTCGTAATTTTTCTATCTGTGTAGTGAATATTCTATTCTGCACTTTTTTTACATAATATGTACTGCCATAACTTGTGTGACCGAAATGTTCAGTAGTATCTCTAACCTAAAGCACGTTATGCCATTGATACCACCTCAGTTTGCACACTAACGAAAATACGCTTGGAAGAACATATTGCCAGGTGCTTTAGAATGTGAAACCGAGTTGGCTGACTTTTCAGGTGGGCTACTCTAGTAAAGAAGACCAAGGTTTATGTTGGTGTGCTCGCACCATTTGCGAACGTTACATATACAGTAATGTTAAGCATATTTTTGGATATATTTTGTCTGATAGCTTACACGTTGTTGTACCAAGGGACCTATTCAAGTAGTTATGTCTAACCTTCATGCGTACGTTTCTGTTCCTGAATTGAGGAGAAGTATTTCATCAGAATGCTAGAGTAACATTGGGGGCACTTTTACCCCGGTAATATTTCCCCGGGTAATGCTAGAAAGAAGGCGCTTCCTGGAACTGTTGAACATAGTGTGTCCCAATTCAGTTAATTGAAAGATATCTTCCATGTACTCCACGAGACACTGAATCTATACACTCAGCTTGTTATGAAAAACATAGCATACCTTCATCTGAACTTCACAGCTGACACCAGGAGAGGTGAACTACATCAGCGTGTATCAGCATAACAGTGAATTCACATAGCCTGTATCCCCAGGCTCCTATAAATGACTGAAACCATGCTCAGTTGGTTCAGTAGAGATAGTAACCTGAACCCAATTGAGAATTCCCGATCACCGGTTTATCGATTGGATTAAACTGGATGTTTATGTTTATTCTTCTTTCGCGGTGATTAGGCGAGTTAGAATCCATTCCCATAAGGTTGAGACTGAGTGTCTGATTGAGAATGTTAAGCAGTAAATTTAGAAGCTACTCTTTTTGATCAACTAACTTTTATTCTTAATTTGATTTACTTGTTTATTATAGATGAATAAATAAGAAAACATTTATATGCATCAAAAATAAAAAGTGAATTTTCAACTATCCGGGTTACGGCCAATAAAAACTACAAACTTCCAATTAAAAACTACTCTCAGTTTGTTGACGGAAAGTTCATCTGCTTCTGTGAACAAAACAACTCGATACAACATGCTCACTGTTTTCTCGGTTAGAGAATTGTGTTTCATCAAAAGTAAACAGTAAGTCAGACATGACGCTATCATAAAGCGTTGCAGCTTACTGGTCATTCATTGTATAAGTCCATTTTTGGGCGGGTGAAGCACAAAAAGGGCGTGACCAGTACAATCAGCAGACCTTGTCTAATAGTTAATAATCCAACTTGGCATGGGTTCCACTCTCTGTTTCATATTATCAGTGTCACCGTCTAGGGGGTATTTGGAAATAGGTGTCTCGTGTTTGTCCATGTTATGCTTCAAAACACCATTAATTTTGTGGCAAAATCAACATGTCATTTCTCACAAAAACAGGAGACAGTGAACTAACTTCCACTAAAACTTTTTATAGAGACCAATTGTATACGAAATGCAGGGCACACGCGTTAAAACTATAGAGCCACCAGAGGTTACTAAAACGAAGCGCCCACACAGTGCCATCCCGCCAAATAGTCACCAAACACCTCGAGAGCCGGATACAGATAGTCGTTCAGTCTATATCGCAGTTCTCGTATCGACTTTTTGATGTTTTGGTGTGAACTCATTGCCAAGTGACTACGCTGTGTGTGAACAGTATTTTACTTTCAGCTTCCTTTGTCCACTTGAGTTCACACAGGGGTTATCTGGAAGAGCAGAAGAATTTTGGTGTTCCAATAGATGTGGCTCCGCATTAGAGTCTCAGCATAAAGGGTCTAAATATGTAATCACCTTCTTTCGGGGGTGAGGGGAATAATATTGTATGAGCAAAACTAGAGATATGGTCAACAACCCTTTTGAGTCAAACTGAGATCGAGTACAACGGTTAGCTCCGATTGTACGTAAAAGTGTTCAACTGCGGAAGTTGAAAATTCAACGCGAGGTTCTTATATGAACTTATGGGCAGACGATAAACAAAAGTTCACCAGCTGCAGTTTGTAAAATCACCAGACTTATCTTTGCTAATCAGTAGCAGGCTCAACATCCTTTATTAGGGTCCAAAATCAAGATTCATGTACCCAATGAAGAAGAATCGTTTATTTCACTGACGAGAGAACGTTTAAATTGAGCTGGGTTGATGCATGAAGGTATAGCTATAACGTACCTAAGGAACAAAGTTTGTTCTAGCCGGGTTCTAATGGACTGGATACCGAAGTGACAGACAACGATTGCGTTTTGGACTGATAAACAAAGAAAAACTCGATAAGGAGTTTTGAATATTGGCAGATGATGGGTAGGCAGAATTTTCGACTACTGTTAAGTATTCTGGCAGATTTGATGATTTAGAAAAGACCTAATTACGAAAAATCTGACCGCGTCTGGATTCGAACCAGCGACAGAAACACCATGCCCTAACGCGGCAAGCGCTTTACCAGCTGAGCTACGAAGTCACGCCGGAAGCTCAGAAATTTCACATTTGTACCTAGCTACCCACCCAACCAACAGTGACACGATGCAAATGCTCATCAGTGATAGTGGTGGATTCCAACGTGAACTGATCGAGAAACCCTGCTTGGGAAGTCAGTCGGATGGATCATTTGGTGGGTTCCATATGACACATTTGGCTGGGTGGGTAACTAGGTTCAGATGTAAAATTCCTGAGCTACCAGCGTGGCTTCGTAGATCAGCTGGTAGAGCAATGCCGCGTCTAGACATGTTGTTCCTGTCGCTGGTTCGAATCCAGCCGAAGTCAGATTTTTCGTTATTGGGTTTTTTCGAAAGAATCTGCTATACTACAGTTGTTAAACTGTCAACTTGGTTCCGGCTACCATAACCTCCTCTCTTGTTTTGATCACCTTGATATGGCTTCACAACAGTTTTGGTTATTACAACAAAGTATTAACTTTTCGTGTATAGTCTGCCACATCGTAGACGTGAATGATTTATCTGACATGCGAATAAACAAACAATCGTTAGGGTTTACCACGTGTTGCCGTCAATACAGCACTTTGCCTCGTTCGTCAAAACACGTTCCTTCTTCGAGCGTGACCGATACTGAATACTCGGGCTACCCATTTGTCCCTCAACGGGCAGCTACTCAAAGTGCAAGGGAACGCTCTTTACAATCCATTGTTTATTAATTTGTTCAGGCCATCTGAATGTAGGGACGACAAATCGACATTGGGTTTAATTACAAATCACGCGAGACGTCACATACCCCAAGGTAATGTATACATCTCATTAGGAATAATGAGCTGATCGCTGATTTTCAGGTTTGGCTACCCGGGCACGTTATGTTTCACATTTTGCTAAATTAACACTTTGCCGCTGTGCTTCAGAAAACTCTATCGATACATTCACCGTTCACAATGACACGATGAATACTACGCTAATTTGAACTTGTACATGTTGCAAGTAAAATACAGGTTTGTTGTTCTCACCAAATTATTTTTAGTGTACCTAATAATTCAACTTCACGCTGCTGTTCACTATAGTAAGAGAGAAACTTAGACTGCCTACCACAAAGAAGGCGAAATCTGACCGTATTTTCAGTCGATGAAATGTGTCAATCATAGAATATCAAACTATTATTTCACATCCAAGTTATGACTGAGCACCATAAATGCTTGGCATTTTTTAAACATTTTCTCACCCTGCCTTCTGATTCTTTATGTGCGTGTGTATAGACCTCAGTGATCTGGTGATACATCCATACTTTGGCATCTTCCAAAGGAAGGAAACACTTCGACAATACAACTTCTTGACGTCATTTTCCTGCGCACCAGTGAAAAATATTACAGCTGTCAACATTTATTGCATTTATTTGACATTGGGAAATAAGACGAATTTTACGTGATGAATATGTGTCCAACCCCTCGCAAGTCTTACGTTCCAAGGCTCAATTTTGCCTAACCCAATGCTAATCTAAAGCATCGTACACCCCATGTTAAGTACACTGGACAGCAAAAAGATAAGCGTTAGACAAGATTAGTCTTTCGAATTATCTCGTCAGTAGAATACTAAATCACTGTATGATGAAAATAGTGTAACAGACAGAAATTATGGTCGGAAGGAGAATGATGAGAACCATTGAGTTAAGCTCGTCCATTGCTGGGTATGTTTGAAGTTTACCTTTGAAAAGTACATGTTTGTGCATAGAATGCAACAGCTGAAATGGCTGTGTAGCACTAACATATAATTCATTTCATTTTAGAAAACAGCGCATGTACAGTGCAATTAGTCATATAGGGCCACTTGGTCCATTGCGTTTATAGATTACTGGTGGAGTATCGTAAGGAATTTGTGAAGTCCATTTCGCTTCCAATTATCAGCCTGAACACATTTTTAGCCTCCCTTAGGGTGGGTATTTGTTAGCAAAATAGACGTTACATAACTGGTTTCTACGTCTTAATAAACGCTGTTTTCTCCAAAGATAGCCTAGGCGACTCGAGTTATGCACGATGCCTATTTAGGCAAATATTCTACATTCGAATACACGTCTCCATGGAATAGTTTGAAAAGAAAACAATACATTCTTTTCTGCCTTATATAAGCCGCACCCTCCTATTTTTTGCACTGCGTCCCACATTTTGGACAGTATGACTCAATTATGAAGCTTGTGTGTCATTTATAAGCTCACCATGTATAATCGTCAAGCTGTGTACAGACTAAGGCTTGTGTACAGAATCAGTCAGCATCATGCTCCACGTAATCTCCCGATTTTGATAATGAACCCTAGATTTTGTGAATTCTTCTGTAACTCTGATAACTTCCAGAACTGCCATGAACATCACCTCTTTAGTTCATCGCTAGAACTGTCATCACGTTCCTTGTGAAAAACCTTGTCTTTATTATCAAGGGAAAATGTTTTCGATTGTCCACGGACGTTCTCATATAATCATGTCACTAATTCATCGCGAATATAGGCACCGGTTGATGTGAAGGTGAGAAAACAGAACTTGTGGTCCATTTTCATCTCACATCATTCTCACATAAGTACATATGTGCAGGTATAGATCTGTCTGGTTTTCATTAACAGCAAGCTGTCAGGCATGAGCAACGTATTCGCGAGAACCCAAAAGTAATTCCACTTCGTGTTATTTCATAACCACGACATCAGCTTTTTATTTTACTTCGGATGTTCAAAATTTTTCAGTTGTCGATGGTCAGTCTAGCGCGTCAAACATCTCGCTAGCTAAACAATAATTCCATTACTTAACATCGTTGAAAAAGATACGTTAGGGTAGACAACTGTTAATCTCTGACATTTTTCGCAGGTTATGATCGCCCAGCCCATTGAGAATTCCATCATTTCACTTTCGATCGTAGAAAACGTAGTACGCTTGATTTGCTTCAAGGTTTTTGTCTAACTTCTCTATACTCGTGCCTAACTAGAAAGAATCGTTTTCACCTGCTCACACTTGACTGATTTCATTATCTGGACAAGGTTAAGGAGATTTGTTGGGTGTGCTAGGCATATCATAATTCGACCTTGAACATGTTAGACATTGTCAGGTGATCAAAATCAATGTCCTAACTTCTGACCTAATAAGTATGACATAACGGAACTAACGGTTGAGAATCCGCAAGCAAAGTTCCGTGTGACCACTTAAATGTGATGAATCGTTGACGCCCCTAAATGAGGTAACTGAAAAACGCTGTACGCGCCCGCTTTAGGTACACGAGTATGGAATTTCAACGTACGAATGGGATACATACTTGCACCGTTTACAATTCACTGTAGCACGCTGCAACAAGGAACGTATCGGGACACGGATCAGTTCATGAACACATCTATTTTCATAGTTCCTGTAACAAATTAGATTCCTCTACCAACAAAAAACATTGGTACAAACGATTAGTACATGTGACAAAAGACGCTTGTTCATTTTTCACGTGTTGTTTAGCTCATTTTGTGAAAACATTGATCAACCTAAAAATCAGTTTACTATACGAGCGTGTAGAACAAAGAATTGCTAATTAGACGTATTCTCAAAAGACAACCAAAATTAAGCAATCATTTACATGGATCACAGTTTTATTCCAACACGAGTTAATTGGTGCTGCTCAATCTTTTGATCGAGCGCATCAACATCAAATTTGTTTCCAAAACTGAGTTAGGACGTTGACTCTCTTTTCTTTAAGTAAGCCTGAAAAACATTCGGATGAAATGTCATAGCGCTCCATTCGAAGTGGTATTACGTGAACCAGACAGTATACAACTTTCGATAGTTTTGAGCTTCTTAAATGTCGAATGAAAGCCTGTTCGTTGTCTTTAGAATAAAACAGCGAAAATTTCTCTCACACACATACACTACGTAGTTGACTAAGGAAATTCACGAGGCTGTTAAAAAAACAGTGGCCATTTTGGTCACTCCATTATGCAAAACACGATCTTTTCAAACCGTAAGATCCAAGGATAACAGTGAACCCAAAGTCAGATTCACCCGTTGGTATTTACAATTGCAAATACAGTCAAACACAAACTTACAAGTTCAGACCCATATGCTGGGCTCACGATATCCCCCTCGTTGAAGATGAGCTTGATAAAAGGCTTCCACTGTCCTTGACCAAGCTGTGATTATGTACTCGTCCTTCTATTTCTGTGCAACAGGAGTTGTGGGTCGGATGACGAGGTGTCTGGCAAAACGGATTAACAAAGTCCTCCGGAATGGCTCGCGGTTGGTTTGACAAAATCCGCGAAGGGCGCAGTCACCGTACATCTAACCGATAGCGACCACCGAGTTTTCCCCAATGAGACTCAGATTTCTCTACAGTGTCCCCGGAACTATTAGATTTGTGAGAAATTGTGCCAGCTCTAAGACAGCATGTGACATTGAAAGGCTACTCACTCAACCTACATAAATACCGTTTTTTTCAGTGTAATCATTGCTATGGCATAACTAAGCGCGTTTACTAGGGTCAGGCGAAATTGTTCTCATCGTTGTCAACTTCGTAAAAACCAGATGTCAACAACCTTAATTTGAGTCATTTTGGGTCCTATATAAAGTGAACTTTGGAATCACTTCAAGCATTTGACGCATAAATGAAATGAACAAGGGCTAGATAATTCAGATAAGCTTACTCTCAGTTCGTAGTTGAACATGTGAAACCGCAACTGGATCCCGGTCAAGCTCCGTGGTTTCTTGAGCACGAAAGGTGAATAATCAACACCATGCTTCACTAAACCTAGTCCATGAGAAAACCAGTGTGCAGATGAGAAAGAAACTATGGTATCGAGGTGTTTCTTGAATTTCGTATACACTAGCTTACTCGGGTTGCAAATGCACGTTTTTTGTTTTTATTCGCAAATATCGAACGAAAATCAGTCAGGTTATTATTTACGTTTTGTACCATTACCCAGAGCTTTTCGATTTTCTGCGATCGTTAGCAGACGGCAGATACTGTGCCCCAACAACACAGGTCAAGCAATAATCTGAAATACCCCATGTCTCTGGCCAATGTACCTCATAAATTGGGGGGGGGGTGAACGGGCGCTATTCATCGCAGCTGATCACATGGCAAGACGGATCAATTGACATAAACGATTGGCCTATTAACATGGACAACTTACAATTTCACCGACCTTTCGAACTAGTACAGCAGAAGAACCTCCGTAATGTTCATGAAAGTTGAAGTAAAACGCATTCATCATTAAACCGTAGTCGTGTACACAAAGTCAAGTACTGTAATCAAACGTGGTACTCATTCTTATTATATCGACTAGTATTCCATCTGTTAAAGTCTATGGAA